GTAATTCGCAACTCCAGTTGTGATCGATCATCTTCATTGACATCTTGGAGTTTTTGTTTTGTGGACAGGTGTCTATTCAGTTGAGATCGATAGAGAAAGAAGATGGGTAAAAATAGCAGGCAATGTAGAGCAAGTCATGGACTACTTTACTCGAAGATCAGGAAAACTTAAAAATGCAAAAGTCATATTCTATTGTTCAAAGGAGGCAAAAACTGATCATAAATATCATGGCAAGAATTATCAAACAGACCAGTACACAGAAAATACTCCAATGGAGAATCAGAGGGAAAGCCATGTCAAAAATCAAGCCGAGAACAACTTGCCCAAGGAAACTCAAAACCCTAACCAATATCATTGTCACCAGAAGAATATTCCTAGTGACAATTGTCCAATGCAGACTAATACCGATAATACTCGACAAAGGAATTACAAAAGAGAAGGTGAAAATTACAATCAAGATTCTTCTCATCATACAACGGGTGATCATTACGTTCCAAATGATCATTATGCACCACGTAAAGATTGGGTCCATCAAGTTGAAAATTACGCACCACCGCCACCTAAAGAAGATAAATATCGATCTGTACGTGTTGATGATCGTGAATGCAGGTGTGAATTTCATGCTTGGAAGAGACAAGGAAGTAGTAGTAGTAGTAGTAGTGGCAGTGGTCGTTTTGTTTTTGATCATAGGGTACCAAGGGCCGACATGCGTTCCGCCAGTGCGCGGTGGTTCAGGGAGGAGCTGCCGCCTTTTTATGGGTACCATGAGCCTTTTATGCCGCTACCTCGGCCGCTGCCGGGACCATTTTCTTATAGATAGATGATTTACCTTGACATAACCTCGAAAAATTGAAGAAACTGCAGCTAGGAACAGACGAGCACAACAACCCCTACTCCACTACAGCCCGAAGCAAGGAAGACAATTGCATCTATACTGCATGTTGTGTCAACGCTAGGCATGCTGAAATTATGTGTTTGCGTTTTGCTCTCGTCTGGTTGTCTCAACTTTTTGATTGTTCAAAGTATAGTCGAATGTGATGCCCAAGAAATTGTGCTTTCTTGTAACTCCTCAAGCGAAGATTTTACAGAGTTTAGAGTACTTTTAGAAGATTATCATTCTTGTTAAAGAGAAATCCTAATATTTCTCTAGCTTGGGTTAAAGAGGCAAGGAAATCTAGTTGCTCATCGCTTGGCAAGAGAGCCATGCTAGTTTTTTTCTATTTGGAGTATATCCCTAGTTTAATAAAATTCTTTGTTGCATATATATATAGATTTACGGTGATGTGAGCGCTGTTAATTAGAAAAAATGCCAAGTTCTTTTAGATAATTTGTACGTAGTCACTGATAGTAGTGTTGCTGTTCGCACTTAGCTGGAGTTAGAACTAGTTTCTTATATGTGAAAAGTTAGTTTAGCTAATTACAATACCATCATAACTACAACACCCCCTTTTAAAGTTTTCTGTAAGTTTATATCATCACACATACAATTAAGATTAAAACGATTCTCTTTGTTTTTTATTTTGAGTGAGCTTTTATAGTAACTCATGCCTTTATTATCTTGCCTTTTCTTAGAGCAACTTTTAAGATCTTTAAGGTACTATGTTTTTGAATCAGTAGATATGTTTTCACCATATCAAAGCGCGTAATATCTCATTTTGTTTCTATTCCACTGACTTTATCTCCGCAATTGGTGTTACTATTATGTTAGTTAGATATGTATAAGGAGGTCAAAAGAGTATTTGGCCTACCTGTTAGAGAAGATTCACCTAATTTTGATTAAATTATAAGCAGGAAAACCTTTTTTCACCTCCTATCCTAAAAAGTTTCTCGAAACCAAACAACATACTGTATCCTTTTTTTAACACCACAGTAATGGAATTTTTACCTAGCTATATTATACATATTAGAAATTTATTTACTTATATTCTCTATGTTTTGCAGTTTTTAATAAGTATCTAGGTTTTTCTTACAACTTGTATACATTTTCTTAAAAGGCTCACACCCCATTAGTAGTGCCTTCAGTTAAGGGATTCGATTACATCATTTCATTTTTTCCCCTTCTCCTCTTCTCTCTCCTTTTTTTAAAAAATCAAAATCCCCTAATCTACATCTAAAATCTCCGTTTTCTCTCTTCACCATTGCCTACAACTTTATATTATTAAAAAATATTCAGAAATTGTATGATAACTATATCATAATTGTAATTGAATTGTATCAGATACATCAATGCCTAAAATATAAATGTATCACAATTGTATCTAACTTGTATATTGTACATAAATACCCAAAATAATACATGATACAATACTAATAAATTAATATACAATTACCATATTTGTGATACAAATTGTGAAATTCATCACGAATTCAAAATTGCTTGTAACAATATAAAATGAATATACAATGATCATACCTTTGTGATACAATTCCTGCAACAATTATGATACATATACAATTATAATACAATTGCGATATATTTCTGAAAAATTGTGATACAACGATCTTCATCTTCCTCAAGTTTCAATCACAACTCTATACTAAAAATTTAATATAATAGTATTATAATTGCATTAGTATTGTATCCACAACTTGATTGTAGAGCAAAATTTCGAATTTCTTCTGTATTGTATAAATAAGAAAGATATTTTGGATGATTGAAAGAGATAAATCGGATATCAAAAGCTTTAGAAGAAGAAAGAATATGCAATTTTGGAGGGATAATAGTGGATGATTGAAAGAGAGAAATCGGATATCAAAAGCTTTGGAAGAGGAGTGAATAAGCGAGATTTTTGGGTTAGAAAGATTTTGGGTAAGGGAGAATACTTATGGTGGGTAAGTACAAATTTGGGTAATTGTTAAAGAAAGAGAGAAGATATTTTTGTAATCCTTTGGAAAAGGAAGAGAATCTTAAATGTAGGGGGATTATGTGTAACTGATACACTATATTTAAGGTATGTTGCATGTCCTCTTTTTTATGGTTTTGTATAAAACTAGTAAATATAGATATATAAAGTAATTAACAAGGAACCTAAATAAAGGTAGTAAATAAATTTCTATTATAGTATAGCTAGGTAAAAATCCTCACGTTAATAGTAGTACCCACAGCCCGTAAGGTAACTTTCCAGTGACTGCTCAATCAATGTGCTTGACAAATGACACCATACAGCACTATATTTTCATGGTTTAAGTAATACTACGTCTACGAGTTTTACCTAAAGGTATCATGGGGCCGGCTCGGGCGGTCGGGATAGAGGAAAAGGGCACCGGCCGATTTCGGTACCGGATCGGTTATTTTTTACCGGCTCCGGGCTTCCTCGGTGCTAAATTGAACCGAAACGACTTCGGGCCTAATGGGTCGGGCTGGGTTTTTTCTTTATATTTTGTATAACAATCGTAATTTATATTAAAATAAAGTAAAAATATAAAACACTAAAAACTAACGTATAAAAAGAATGTTTGAATAAATTTCAAAGGCTTTAAAAAGCCTTATATTTGAAAAATTCATTATGAATTTAAGATAATACAACAAAAATGAAAAAAAATATAACTTATACTGGAATGTTGATAACTTGATATGTAAGGATCAAACTTCAAACGCTTTCATTTCATAATTTCATTGCATAATAATACTTCAAATTAACTTGTCTAACAAACTAACGCTAAGCTTAAATAACTCTAATAATTTTAAAATAACATAAATTGTCTCAAATCAACTTAAATACGAATTTCTCGAGGACGCTCAAGACAACTCTTCATATGACTATTAAACAACCTGTGCCCTCCCACTTTCGACGAACATTTAAGACTCGACCACAGTTCTTCCACTCTACTTTGCGAACTTCTTCATTTTCTTCTACCACCTCAAAGTATTCCCAAACATAAGAGCGCACTATACAAGCACGGGGCATGATTTAACTTGAATTGAGAATTTTGGTTTGAGAATTGAGAGACGAGTGAAGGAATAAAGAAGAGGAGGGGTCTATTTATAGGGCTAAATTAGTAAATAATAAAAGTGTTATTTTTGAAAAAAAATGCCCAAAAAGGGCTATTCTTGCAAATTAGCCATTGGACAACGGTCAAAATGGCAGCTGACCGTTGCCCACGGCCAAGATTATTAAAAAAAATAAAAAATAAAAAATAAAAATTTTGAACTAGCCGCCGTTGAACTGGTACGGGCCGGTTAACTGGTTCACAAATGACAAGATCTTACCAAGTTGTACCGGTCCGGTTAACCGGTGTTAAAATTTTCCCCTGCACAGGCCGGTTCCCGTCCTAACCCAGCCCTGCCCGGCACCCTTACCACCGGGTCCGGTCTAAAACCGGTCAGGGCCGGTCCAGAACCGGGCCAGCCCGACCCATTTGACACCCATAGTTTTACCTGTGTATACTTCTAGCTCTCTGGAAAATACTCGTGCCCCAAAGAGTTGGTTCACTTGCTAAAATAAGATGAGCAAGAAAAAGAAAGGAAACGAGAAAGGAAATGGCTTGCATTGAGATAATCTTCCAAAACTGCAAAGCTCCAAAATGAGCTTTTGCTTTTTTTTTCTTTCCGATATTACTTGGTTGATACTTTCGCTAAACAATAACAAAAAAAATGATTTTTAAACGTGAGTGAAAAGTTTTAAAAAATAATTGTAATAAATATGACAAAATAGAAGCAAATCTCACAGCATTAAAGAAATGATGCAGCGCAGCTTGTTGACTTATTTAATTCTACTTATTTAATTCTGCAAGGATCATCCGTTCTTTAATGTCTATTGATGCTATCCTCTCAAATGTAAAGTCACTACAAATAACAACAACAACAACATACCCAGTATAATCCCACAGTGGGATCTAGGGAGAGTAATGTGTACGCAGACCGTACCCCTACCTATGGAGATAGAGAGAGGTTGTTGCTGATAGACCCTCAGCTCAAGAGAAGGTGGAAAATGTAAAGTCAGTACGGTTTGGTAAATTCTTTTTCCAGGTATAATGAAGTACCAAGCAAATATTGCGAGTAGACCAAGCAATGAAATGTATTTCTATTGCAATAGAAGCATAGGATGAGAAGTAAATAAAGGAAGGTGCATATTTTCCTCTTTTGGTTTAGAAAACCAGAGACAGTTATTTGTAACACCTCCACATAATATAATTTTGAGGTTGAAAAGGCTAATTTTTGAATATCACAGGTGAAAATGTAATCTTGTCATATATCACAAATACCAGTCATACCTCAACAATGATTGATTCTGTCGCAACTTTATCCATTCAATCCGGTCCCGAAGCACATGTAAAATCAACAATATACGGAACAGCAGAGATAACTTCTTATGATGGAAATCCAACGCTTTTTCTTCAGTGCAAGACAAGTAGCGGTATTGTGTAAGACGAGGAACACTGTTATGTGGTTGCTTTCGACAAATTGATCTGCTACACCATTGTGCATAGCACAAAAGTTAACCTGATTAACTTTGGTAAATCAATAGCAAAACTCTCCTTTCCACAGCTCACAACCACCCTTTTTACCCCAATATGGCTTCCAGGAGCTTCAGGGTCTGAAACATTGAGAACAGACCCGGCCTTGGTGATTTATTTGCAGTCAATCTTTTTGCAATATCTGACCAATCCATGACTAAAAATCTGAGTGATACAGACAAACTAAGCTTGAATGTGTTATAGGAGAACGGCAAAGAGGACATTCAGGCTTCTCATTGCACCATTCCATTATGCAGTTCCTACAAATAGTGCAAATCAAAACAAAAGGTGAGACCATTATGTCTTTTTATTCTTCTTTCACATTTACCTCTCTTTTTTCGTTTTTCTGCTGTCTTCACATCTTTGTTCCTTTCCTTTCTCTTTCTGGTTTTGGTTTTGCAGGGATTGAACGGTCAACCAATATGATGGGCAAAAAGAGAAACAGTCAGAGTCAATACCAGCAAAACACGTGACCACAAGGTGTGGCTGTTGGATCTTGGCGGCTGCTTAGGCAAAGCGTGCATTTGCTTGGACTGCTTCCTTGTGACTGAAACAACAAAAGAATAATTTGTAAGATTAGTTAACATTAAGGCTTGAAAAGTATAAGATTAATAGCTTGTTTGTCCAAACTTCCAAAATCAACTCATTTTGAGAAGTGTTTTTCTTAAAAGTGCTTTTGGTGAGAAGCGGTTTGTATTTGGCTAATTAATTTGAAAAGCACTTCTGAGCAGCAATTAGTGTTTGGCCAAGCTTTTAAAAAGTACTTCTAAGTGTATTTTTCTTAACAGTGCTTTTCAAAAAGTGCTTTGCGGGAGAAGCTACTTTTTTCCGCTTCTCCAAAATTGCTTCTGCTTCAACTCAAAAGTACTTTTTTTCTTCTAAAAAACTTGGCCAAACACTTTAACTTTAGTAAAAGTACTTTTGGTATTGGAGAAGCTTGGCCAAAACAGGTTATAAGCTAGCAATGTGAAAAGGGAAGCTAGGTAGGAGTTGTGATTAAATTATTTGTAATTCCATGTGCTTGAGTACCTTGTAATGGAGAACCAGGGTATAATAAATAGGAGAAACAAAAAGGAAGATTAAGTCTAAGAAGGAGATGCTTGATGCATTTCATTTATATATATATAATGTGTGTGTATCTAATATACACTTCATACACTTCTCCTCTAAACTTTGAACCCTAAAACTAAAACTCTCTAGCCTTAGTAAGTAATGGTCAAGTTCAAAGTAATAATTGACATATCTGGCACGTCACACACAACAAAAATATTTAATTTGTAGGTATCCTAATTTATATTGTTATCACCAAGATTGCCAAGTGCAGCATGAACTATTTTGTCCGAATATCTTATTAGAAGATGATGTCAAATAAGCTTTTAAGGTAAAAGGTTAGTAGGTAGTCGAGCGTTTTTTTTTTTATGAAGTAAGGTGAAGTCGAGCGTTTTCCCTTCCCATACCTGTAGTTTTAGTATCATATTTCCTTATTCTTAGATTGTCAATTACTGCATGATGTTGCTTTTGCTTTGGTTCTATTATATCTTCCTTGACTTCTTCACTACTGTATTTCCTTTTCTAAACTGCTGCGTTTATGTTTGCCTTGAGCTGAGGGTCTATCGGAAACAGCCTCTCTACCTGCACAAGGTAGGAGTAAGGTTTGCGTACATACTACCTACCCCAGACGCCACTTGTGGGAATAAACTGGGTATATTGTTGTTATTGTCAACCAAACTTTTATTATTTTTGGTTCTTTCATCCTCAAAACTCCCTATTGTCCGTCTCGGTGGAAAGACATTATTAATCAATTCTATCAGTCTGAATCAATACAGTAAAAAATTTATATTTAAAAAAAATTAGAAGTTAATGTAATTTGTCATAATAGAGCTTAAGTATTTAAAATATTGCTTTAAATATTAATTGGTTAACAACTAAGAGACGAATATCAAATGCTTTCACTCATGGAACGGAGACTTCTACAGTGTAGAATAGAACTAGGGGAAGGTTATGGTAACTTTGTAAATTAAAAAGAAGGGTGCTTGATGTATGACAATTTAGAGCGGAACCCATTATAGAAGGCACAAAGTCAAAGTAATACCTGTTACCCTTCAACGACTCTCCTAGCAATATTTGAACAGTGCAAAAGTGATAAAATTCTCTCTAGGTTAAATTTCCTAAATGAATTATGTAAAAAACTTAATTCTTGACAGTAAAACAAAATATACCTCCGAGGTTGATGTGGATTCAACCAGCCCAGACTTCCCAGTTTCAGCAGTAATTAGATTGCCTTCCTCATTTAAAACAGGTAAACCTCGGCCTAAAGGCACAAAGAGAAAAGGTTACAGCCAACAAGTGAAAAAATGACTTACCATAGACCTGAAGAAAGGAAAAACTAACATATAAAGGCCAAAGTGTTAATTTACGAGTGCATATTCACAGACCTACAAGAGATGCATAACTGCAAAGATACAAAAGTGAACTTGATGACCGGAACCAAATTTTGTAACTTTCTGACGCATAATTACTCTTTCTGCCATGATCAAATCTTCCAAATCATAGAAAACTGCATTTTGCAATTAATCTCCTTCTCTCCTCTATTAGTGTTGAAGCCTTAGTCCTTGGAGCAGGTGATGAAAGTCCAGAAGTACAAACTACTCTCTTTTTTACATAATAAATGATTTTGTATTTTGGAGTGAACAACATAAATAAACATTTAGCACATGATACTCGGAGGATGTCATGACTTCTAAGACCAAGAGACTATGCAAAATGTTTCACCTGTGGAAGTCTGATAGGTTCCAAAGGGTGCTTGTTGAACAGAAGCTGAAATGGATGATAAACTACTACGCCTCAGACCTTCAGCCGCAAGAATACATAATTGAATTAGAAGGAAGACCCCTAGTATTTGATATCTGCACAACAAGAACATTTTGTGCACTCATTAATGTCCAACTGGCATCTTAATGAAGACAGGAGCCATAAATCACACTATTTTAAGAGATGACTATGTGCCAGAAAGAGAATCATCCACTACTTTGAAGTTTGATATAGAATTAAGCAAAATGGCGTAAAAATATCTTTAGTGGTACATGAAAGTGAAATATCTGACTACCCACATCCCAATGCACATAAAGCGGCAGACATGTCCCATGTTAAATATTTTCGCAAAACTAAGCAGCCTTGCCTTTTGAAGAACAGTACTCTCAATTTTTCCTTTAAAAAGCAGGGAAAGCAGCAAAATAGAAACAGAGGTACCAGGCAGAAAACTAATAAGCATACAAAGAAATAGTGTCCCAAGGTATATAAGAAGGAATGTCATCTTGGTCAAATGAAAGAACCATTTATGTGCAAATTTTTTCTTCCACAAGAAGATAAGCATGGAAATATCATATAGCCAGAAATCTACCAAATTTGGTCAGAGGGAAAAGTCACTTCAAGAGTTACAGACGACAGACTTTATACAACTATTTCTGCAACAGAAGCTGGAAGCAATTTACCTAGGTCGTTGGTTCATAGGTTTGCCAATGAACACATAGCGAATGCCCGCAGTACGTTTTGATATATGATAATAAAATCCTGCCATAAAAAGTAAGTTTAATAACTTTCAGAAACTAGCAGCACTAAAGTTTATTGAGTGGCAATTAATCACCTTCAAAATAGAAGAACATGAGATTGGTCCGGATGACCAATTGCAAGACCTCACGAGCAAGAGGAAGCACCTACAAAAATCAGCAAGGATGTATGTAGCTTTAACAAAAATTTGAAGTACTTCCCAGTTATCTCTACATGTCAACTCTGTCTTAGCCACTTTGGGAAGTTATATAAAGGAGCTGAACATGGCAGTCAGCAGCCCTGGCAGATCCAAGGGTAGGCCATCAATAAATACGGTTTAGTTGTGCTACAAGGCGTTCTACTCAGGGTGGAAGTAATTCTAGACCTTTGTCCTACATAAATAGAATATCGCAAACATTTGTTTGCAATAATACTCCACAAGGCACCCCTGGCTTAACAATTGGCGAGCACAAGATCCAAAGAGTTTATCACCATCCAACAGTCTAAATGCTCCAGGAAATGCAAGGAGCCATAGATGCTTCCTTAGGAGCGAGAGAATGTAAAACAGTAATTCAAATTGCAAGAAAACTTTAAAAAGCACAGCATCCAACTGAGAAGAAATCCAGTTTAACTTGAGCAACTTTATCCATTGAGTTTGTGGATAACAATGTGGCAGAGAACAGATATAAAGGTGAGAGAGAAACACTGCATTTCACACCCAGGCTTTGGCAATCTAACATAACAAAAAGCTTAGGAAGAAGGGGGCGTACCGAAGGCCACCTTCGAACTGCATACAACCAGAAATCCCTTATCTTGGCTTTTAATCTTGAAAGAGCTGAAATTGATGGAGTGGATGTTGAAGATGACTGTATCTCAACAGTCGCTGATGCCTCAGCTTCGTTGCTTGAAGAACGAACGTCCCCAAATGTATAGTCGGCCATTGAATCAGCAAGGGTGATGCCACGGGAAGCTACTCTAGAACTGTAAAACACACAAAAAATAAATAAATAAATAAATAAATAACGCAATAAATATTGATATGGTCTGCAAGAATCACACACTAACAAAATATTGCTATAAGGAGAAGTAAGAGATGTGCACGTCTTTCTATGAAGTCTCTTGGAAAATGTAGATGAACCTGACTCTTTCTGCAATGTATGGAACGGCTGACTGATAGAAAATAAAAAGAGCACGTCTTGCAGGTGTGGGGGAAAGCCCATATGGTCCTGCAACCTGTTATACCAAATTGTAATGGGAACATAGACACTTAATTGCAAAGGAGAACAGCAAAAATTTGCTGATGCAGTTTTGAACATCAAATGGTTAGATCATGTAATTTAGAACAGTGGACCGGTTTTGAACTCTATGTATACAACATTTTGGATCAAGATATTATCAGAAAGAAAGAATGTTCTAGAGCAACACTTCTCGATGAATATAACTGCTAACAGAACCAATTACATGTTAGCTAGAACATCATTATACAATGTCTAAATGCATGCTTTTGAACACTACAATTATTCCAGGAAATATATCCACGAACACATTAATCAAGAGAGAATATTATTCTTTCCTCCGTATCAAACAAATTACTCTCTGTTCCATTTTGGGTGACATTATTTCCTTATTAATACAACAACAACAACAACAACAACAACAACAACAACAACAACAACAACCTAGTATAATCCCACAAGTGGGGTCTGGGGAGGGTAATATGTACGCAAACCTTACCCCTACCCCGAAGGGTAGAGAGGCTGTTTCCAGGAGACCCTCGGCTCAAAAAAGCAACAGGAGACGATATATTAGTACCATAAAAATGCATAATAGAATAACAGCAATATAGGAGATATGAAATACAGAATACGAAATACGAAATAGATGTCTGGTATAGTAAAAACTAGCAGGTAAAGCCCTGCATCAATAGACGAGCAATGACATTCTTAGTCTAACTCCTAACTGGCTAGTCTCACTCTATTGTGCTGTAGAAATATTCACAATTTTCCCCTAACCTACAACCTTAATGCTCGACCTCCATAATTCCCTATCAAGGGCCATGTCCTCAGTAATCCTAAGTCGCGCCATGTCCTGTCTGATCACCTGTCCCCAATACTTCTTAGGTCGCCCTCTACCTCTCCGCGTGCCCACTACAGCCAGTCGCTCACACCTCCTCACCGGTGCATCAGTGCTCCTCCTCTGAATGTGCCCGAACCATCTGAGTCTTACTTCCCGCATCTTGTCCTCCATGGGGGCCACGCCCACCTTCTCTCGAATATCTTCATTCCTAATCTTATCCATCCTTGTATGCCCGCACATCCACCTCAACATCCTCATCTCT